AGGTTTTCCTCCCTCTCTAGGAAAACTGTCTTTCCTCAGGTGGAGCAGGGAGGACCTTGGGAAGTGGACGGACTGAGGGACCAATGAAACAGCACGAGAGGCATCAGATCAACCTACTTTGCACATTTCAAAATTGTATAAGACATTGGGTTTCAGGTAGGTAGGTGTTCCCTCTTGTCCTGAAGATGAGTTGAACGGTTTTGCTGTTTAGGATCAGGGCTTCGGATAGAGACGGAACCCAGAGCTCTGTAAATTGGTTTATTCGATTGTCTATTCAATTGTGATAATGAAATGTTTAAAAGTGATATTTGACTCCGATCATTCTTCATAAAAGAACACGCTGCACTGGCTGGAGAACTATTTCAGGTCTTTAAGTTTTTCTTTGTTGGTGAAGAATGAACTTGACAGTCACATAAACTGATTAATATACATGACAGACATCATCAGTCCTTCAATCAGAATTTCTGAGAATGTTCCAGTAAATTTCACCAGATGTTTGAGACACGTGATCTCGTGACAATGTGACATTACTGCTCACCTGATGCTACATAAACAGGACTGGGTGGGGGTCAGGGCTGAGGACTGTCGCTGACTTTTGCTCAAACTGTGTTGTGCTGCAAAGATCAGCCTCAAGTGGGAGGCACATGGCCTTCACCAGATAAAGGCTTATTCAGAGAAGATTTTAGATTTTGTACCTGACATTTTCAGAATCCAATTGATTTTTTGGTCTTCTAAGAAACATCTCTAATTTTTATTTTTAAATTATTCCTTCTCCTTTTTTGTTTTGGGGCATTCAAGAGATCAGGAATGAGAGGAGAGAGATACATGTTTAACTTTGACAACATGAATTTAGAGGAACATTATAGGAGATATAGGACAAGCATGTTTTTGCACCTTACATCTTTCCCTCCCAAGGACATTGCTGATGTTTTTGATCCATATTGATGGTGTCATGAGTCACATTTGTTCTGGGAGTTCTTCCAACACATCTTATTCACATATTGTTTTAGTTTGTACAGCTTCACCTCCTCCAGTCTACTCAACGAGAGAAAACATCCTGTCCAGGAGCCTGGGGAAGACAGAGTGTCCTGTCCAGTGAGCGATCCTATTAACAGAGTGTTGTCCTCCCATGGGTCCACAGCCTGCAAGGGGATTCATAATGGGCTGGTGCACAGTAGTCGAAGGCAAGGGCCCCAGCAACCCAATCTCTGGACACGGAGACTAGCCCTGGACACATGGAATGTCACCTTGCTGGTGGGGAAAGAGCCCGAGGTGGCTAATAGGTTACAGAGAGCTACGGATTATAAACATTGAGGCGATGTTGTCATGTGCATAGTTTATAGAGCGGGGCTATCAGTTCCCGCTGTGTGCTGAGAGAGGATCAGCTGTGAGTAACACAGACCACATGCTAACCCTTTAACCGAAGATAATATTTGGAGAGAAATGGCAGAAAGCAAGATGTTCTACTCTCTGTGTTGACATTTCTTTAATCTGCTTTTTGTGGATCGAATGCTTTAGGATCATGGTTGCTCGTGTCTTGCCCAAGGACGCTTCGACATTAC